ATAAATAGTTTATTCATGTACTTACTGAGTTTTGAAGGATATCTTAAACTCATTATTTTGGTAAGTATTTGAAAATAAACATTCACAAAATGTCCTATGTGTACCCGTACGACAGTTTTATTAAAATGTCTTATTCGATTAAATTTGTCAAATTTCTAATCGTAGGCACAAAATGTAATAGATACATTTAAGCGATTAATCGTTTTAGTAAAAATGATAACATCACATAAATCCATCTTCGTTGTGTATTTTAATGATTATAATATTATATATTTTGAAATAATAAACAATTCCATAGAGGTTTTTGCTCCCGGTTGCTGTTATTTCTGTAAACAACGTAAAGTTTTCTGGACTTGACATTCACATAATTTCAGCTTCTAAAAATGTACATATTTTAAAACCGAAGGAATATAAATCAATTCTGTCGATGTGTATGTTCGGTTGTCATTTGTAATGCAGTGGTTTTTTTTATCTATAGCTTCTCACAACTTCTACGCACGACTGTCCATTTTCTCGAGTGTTTTTAAAATAGTGGTTTTAAATCCACCATAAGTATCTAAATTAATATTTATCTCCAGTGTGTGAAAAATAATATTGTGATTTCAGTGAAAATTAATGATTAGTCATAAAATCGTGTTAAACAACACACGTTATTTAAAAACTTAAATAATAAATATATAATTACCTATAATAGACTTTTTTACTACTTTATTTGAATACACTTCATATAAATATGTTTTCTTGCCTGCTCTTCTCACAAATACTAACTATGCATAGGTAATATAACATATAATTTGGGTTATACGTATGATTCGTTTCGTACAGGCCAATACTCAATAATATATACACTATACAGATATATGCATATTTTCTGTTGTTTCAATTAAAAATACACATAGTTACACATAGCTAGGTACCCCGATCTTTGATTACTATTTATCTTATGATAATTTATTACATTGATTGATAATAATTCAATTAAGGTAAAGAGTAAATAAAAGCATTCCCGATCAATGATCAATTACCATGTGTGACAGTACATTCTTTATGCATTATTATTTATTATATTTTATTAATGATGTACAGATTCTCGATATAGTTTATATCAAATGATATGATTGTGAGATCGAGTGATATAGTTGTGAGATCGCATTCCATGTAAGGAACGCCGTACTGCCATTAGAACAATAATGTATGGGATGGTTTGTAATAATTATGCATGGCCGTGGAAGGTGTTTTTCACTCATTTTTCCAAGGTTAAAGAGAAGTCCCGGGCAATTGCCGACAACAGTCGTTTTTGGACTTTCCGTTTAAGGAGGCATTGTATTGGTACTATATAATTTATAAGATGCTTAATGCAATTGTGTTCACCGACTACCTATGGACTATTATCCTACACATCGAGCAATTGCGAATAATACTACTATAGTGGACTATTTCATGACACGCATTACGCATTTGTATTTGTATAGATAACGAATAGAATATTTTATTATATTAAAAAAATCATAATACTTATAGTTATAACACCGATTTTTACGTTGGATTTTAATTGTTAATACAATAATATTAAACCCAGACTAATCTACTGGAATACCTACGCATTTGAATATATTATAATCATATTTAGAGTAGGTATAATGCATCATAGAGATAATATAATTTAACCTAATTGATATTTAAACAACATTATTTTTATATCATTCGTATTTATACTTTTTATTATTATTGATATGTTCACTCAGTGTATTATTTTTATCAGTTTAATTTGAAAAACCAAAATACCTTTGTGTATATATTATTGTAGGTTTGTAGTTACTAGTTATACATTTTAATCAATAAAATAATATTATAGTATAGGATCCCTATAGATAGGAGTCAGATATTTACTGATTTAATCATTCCTACGTATTATTTTGTATTGGAAGGTTTTAACTCGCGCATATACATATACAATATACATACATATTATGTGATCATAACGGTTAACTTGTACATTAACAATTTCCGGCCTAAGTCTTTCAAATATTTTTATATTATAACATAGCTATATACAGAACAAAAGATATATACTAATAATATTATGTTATTATTAGTCTTAGACAACTTATCTATTAACTATCATGACTTTGAAAATTCCATCATTGACCATTGCTCTTCCCATCATCATTTATAATCTGTAATTTTATGACCGTAATATGCTGAACCTCATACCTGTCTAATACCTATACCTACTCTCTGCAGTCGATTCTTATTTCTTTCAATGGGCTCGCCGTCTTATTTTGTGTACCTTATTAGTGATAGTTATGTATTGATGGAACGCGCTCTGCGTGTAGCGGATATACCACGATATTTCCTTTATAATGTATATATTGACAAGCCGCTGGATGATTTCCGATAATGAGCTCGACATACGAATGATTGATGTACATCAAGAAAAAAAAAACCATTTTAGACCGCCTATCGATTACTGATTACTATACTATTATTGCTTACAGATAGTTATATACAGAATGATTCATCGACCGCGATTAACCATCTACTTTTTTTCTTCGATAATGCAGTTATTTAAATTCTGATTTTGAATTTCTAAATATACTTACTTAAAGACCATATTTTCAAATTGATAAATTTTTTTATAGTTACTAATTAAAAGTGCCTTGTGGAGGTAGTAAATTCTGTTTTTCAAATACTAATTTTCCTTTTATATAATAAATTATTTAGTGGATAAATTTACTTAAAATTTTTACGTATTAAAATCAAAATTCAAACGAGTTTTTTTGTTATTTAACTTTGAGTGATGTGGTTAATAGGTCCATGATAATGGTGGCTATGGTCATTTGAAGATTATAATAATTTATATTAATCTATCTACAATATTTGTAGTTTATAAATAAGGTCCAACCGGTCGAAGTATAATAAATTGTAGATTCGATATTAAATATATTTTATATTTTTGTAATTTAACTGATTTTAAATTAGGTATAAAAAATAGAAGTTTGTACTACCGCAGATCACTCCTCTTTAAGTAGAGCAAAAAAATTTGAAAATATTTAAAAATATGGTTTTAAATCTGTTTAAAAATTCCAAAAAAAAATAAAATAATTTTAATAAATTTATTATCAAATAAAAAATCAACGAGCGTGTTCGGTGAATCACACTATATTTACATACAACGTGTATACAGTCAGCAGCTACGTTGGTCTCGCGTATATAGACTGTACTGTCATATAACATGTATTATAATTTAATCTCTTGTACGTAGTCTAAATAATTTATACTATATACGTACAATGATTTTGAAATTCACGACACCACTTAGAACACACACCCACACGCACACACATATTATAGATATAAACGCGAAAAAAACCGAGTGGTCTAATTAAGCGCGTCTAAAAGACGGTTTTAATTAACAATCGCGATGGGGTGCGCATATACCTATATTGTATTTCGTTCGTCACGCCATTAACCGTACCTGTAATAATATACGGTGAGTTTCGTAATTAGCTCGGTTTATTATAATGTGTGTTTGAAATAAGAATAAACCGTACCTACGAACCGCAGCATCATCATCATATCTTGTTGTTATCTATATACGACTGTCGACTGCCGTCGCTGATCTCTGCATACCACGTAGATATATATATATATATATATATATTCAACGATACCTCTGCAGAATAAAAAAGCGAACGCATAAAATTAACCCCGACAAGTATCTCGCACGTGCATGTAGTACATAATATATTTATATATATATATTGGAACAAAGGCGGCAGCGCCCTCGTGACTATTAAAACAAGTCTGCGCGCCTACACAAGTTCGCCGCGGACAAACCTTAAATGGTGGTCAACCACGTCGCGAGATATTATGTATGTGTGTGTGTGTGTGTGTGATTTTGCTGGTTTTTTATATTATAAAGTGTACAGGTGTGTGTACCAAGGCCGCACGCTCACGACGACAAGACGTATGGGGACGTCGGCGGCGTCTTCTGCGTGCGATTATTAATCAATATAATATATAATAATACCTGATATAGGACGTATGGGTAGGCATTAACATCGTTCATCAACATCCCATGATGAGTTTTTTATTTGGAATTTTTTTTATCAAGCGGAATAACGCTGCTGATGTGATAATATTAAACGCATTATGACACGCGGAATTGAGTAATCCGTCGTATGTACCTATACAATATTATTTAAGTATACTCGCACACAATAGCTGGTAGCACATTATATGTATATTATGTACGTGTGCTTAAATATTGTGTGTGCAATGTGTATGTAGCGTGCATATTGTATATGCATTAAAGGTTTGTGTGTATACCTACAATTTACATGTACATATATATATATATATATATGGGTACACATGTCATGCCTGTAACGTTGGCAGATTAGCTAACGGCCGACACGATTTCGTCTATGACCGAAACACGCAAAAATCATCATCGTATTTATTTTTGTTTAATCGTGCTTTATCGGTATCTAGGTCCTTGACCTCGAAGTCCGGGTATATGTACAGTACCACCCATAGTACATATGTATATATATATATATATATTACAACAAAAAATCTGGTCTTACAACAGCCTCATCAATTCAATACGCCCTCATATTATGTATTGTGGTCCGAAGATACAGTTATGGTATTTTTTTTTAACCACGGGTGACTATTACTTAACAAAGACTTAAGCATATTCAAAATAACGAAACTTTCAAAAACATGAAATGAATAACTTCGCATTGGTTTAATCGCACGGTATACTACGAACTATTTGCCATTTAAATTGCCTGTATGTTATATAAATATATAAATGTATAAATAAATATACCCATTATGTTTTTAACATCAGATTAAAACCGTAATTTATTTATAATAAGATACACAACACATTCAAAATTAACGAAAAATATATTATTACTGTGTTTATATTTTTTGTACGTACTTCACTATTATTTAATTTTGTTTTGTTTTTTTTTTTTTTTTTACAGCGTATTAACTATGGACAAAATCTCGTGGAAGAAGAGTTCATACCATCCGTTACTGCGACATGCAAAGCTGGATACATGACGATTAAAGTCACCACCAACCAGCCTTTTGTTGGTTAGTTGATATTGTTATTTACCTATTCAATTATAATTACTCTGTTGCATGCTATACGACCGTTTTAATAAGCCAATTACACGATAATTAAGGACACGAGTTACTGTATTATATTGTAATGCAAATTATTTTATTTTTAACAAAACATATGGTATCTAGACAGGTACGTTATTTTTAAAAATATAGTGTCAAACTAAAATGTCCTATATAGGTATATCACCAAAATAAATAAAAATGCGTTTATTAAATTAATATATTATCTATTTCATAAAATAAATTGATCTTAAATTTATGAAAATACCTAATAGGTAATAAAATTGTATTAAAAAAGCTTATATCTGTTCATATCTTTGATAATTTTAAATGATTAAAATTGATTTGATAAGAGCATTAAAAACCATTAAGGGACTGAATAATTTAATTTTCTAAAACGCAGTTTAAAAGCAATATAAAGTTACAACTAATAATATATATACACGCGTGGTGTTTAAACTGGTCTTTAATATACTTTACAATTTTACACACGGTAACATAATAAGAATGTTTTATTTGTTGGCTGCTTTGCTACCTTCGAATCCCACGTCCTCTAATATGAACAACTGGTCATAAAATATGTTTAAACACGGCACAGAATGCAGTGCACACCTATAGTCTTTATAATCAGACATTAGATATTGGATTGCAAAACCGATAGGTCGATTAAATATTATAATATGTTTATTGAGTACTAACTAAAACTACATATTTATTAAGTTTTGACCAAAGGCCGTCACTGTAAACCTTCTATTTCGTTCATAGTGAATAGAACTTAACAATATAGTGTTGTATTTTAAAAATAATGTCTTTTTAAAATCCCTGACGAGGCCACATTATTGTTATATTTTTCATGCGACCTCAGTGAAAAATAAAGAATGATTTTCAAAATATTTCTATCTATAAAAATATATAATATAACAAGACGTGTACAATAAACATAGAACAAACGAATATCCGATCAATGATATTTGGGTATAAAAGCAAAATAAATAATTCAAATTTTCTTATTTAAAATATGTATAGCTTGTATTAAATATTTAAGTGTAGGTTTATAAGTTGGTATATAAACCATTTTAGTTATTCTATTGTAAGTCAGATGATATTGTATTGTACTATTATATAACACACTGTTAACAATATCACATATCATTTAATTTTACTTTGCACATTTTACATTGTATGTTATTATATTTAAGAAATTTAGAATATTTTTGAATCATATAGCATGCGAGGCATTTTGAAAATTGTATCTATATTTCTATACGACCAAAAAGACCTAACAGAGTTAACGTATCTACATCGCCAAATCGTTTATTAAACTTTGCTGTACACGGTTCATCGTTTTATCTTTGCTTTCAAATTTAAATTAATAAGACTCTACGTGGTTAGCAACATGGTGAACGAATCCAAAGCAAGACATATTATATTATACATTTATACCGGAATACTAACACTCAAGCTCGGTTTCTTACTTTTTAATATTTACACAATATATATGTACACTCGCGTGCATCAAAATAAAATCATTAGATGTACACAATATTATACATTCACAGAAAATTATAACATAGTAGAATAAATTGCATATAATTATTTAACTAGAAAGGTGTGAACCAATAATCAATACTTTTATTGTTTTCAACAACCATAACGCTATAGTTAGTAATGTTAGTATAAATAGGCACTCAACATCAAATTTCACCAAGGACTTTTTCCACGCCTTTTTCATGGGATCTAAATATTATATTATTATCTTTATAATTTCCGCATTCAATTGTATTGTTTTTAAACTAAAGAACTATCTACTTTAAGATTTGGACCAGATATAATTTTCCTTTAATCTAATTATTTTTTATTGTAAAAATAAGAAATTAATAATCTCTCCATAAAGTGTTTTTTTATTTTTTAAGCTATTTCCTATTTGACAATCTCCTTCTAATTAATATCATTAGTAGTTAGCCATTATATACTCATTAGTCATTAGTCATTACTGATATTTGAAATATTATATAATAAAATTGAATATACACTAGTACTTTACACTAGTCACTTGATTTTCAATGTTTGAAAAACAATTTTACTATTCATTAGTACATCATTTTTATGTACTTATTAGACAAGTTTTAGAAACGATTTTTGGTTATACTGTAAGATGTATAGTATAGTGTTCAAGTACACATATAATATTATTAGGTATAGGTACGTCTTAGTATAATATGAGTAGATACTTAATACACGTATATAATATTATCTATTTAAAGTTAACCATTTTAAAATACAGTTAGCACTTAATTTTATTTTTTAAACTTGTAAATAATCAAAATTAAGTCATTGATATCAAAGTTAAAATAAAAATAAATATTTTAACTTAACTGATATATACATAGATTATATCATGTAACTACATTGAAATAAAATATACATAGATTACTAAATGTATAGCGTGTTCACTAAAAAAAAAAAATTAAAGATTACATAATAATTAAGATCTTAATGAAGAATAATAACTATTTGACATTTACTTATAATAAATAAGAATTACGTATTATGTAAGTATGATATTTGTGTATATTAAAAATTTAAGTTTAGTATACCATATTATACCATTAACTTTTATGACTATAACGTAATAGTGTACAAGTAGTGTATAGAATTATATTATATACTTACGTGGACGGTGGAAGTTGATATTCCTATAATGTTAAATATCATTACGTTCACATTTTATCATGCCGTACCTATCTATATCCAATTTTGTTAAAAAAAATTATAAATCTCTTTATAGTTATCGTCGTGACTTAACCATGATATAATGACGTCCCTTTTCTCTCTCCTCAAAAAAATCGTTCAAATAAAATCAAGTACATTTTTAATCTCCAAAAATAAATGCAATCCAAATAATTGGAGATATTCAGATACGTGTTGTTTACTTTTTTGCGTTTTATTAATAATAAAATACTTACACTTGCCCATACTCAATATTAGTGAATTAGAGAAGAACAGTGTTCGAAATCCGGACGCACCCATAACCACATCGCAAACGTCGTGGCGAATCGAAATTATTATTTTATAAAAAATAAAACCGTTTTGTTTTTCACAGGGGCCGTGCACGCTAGAGATTATCGTTCACCGAGTTGCTTGAGTTACGGTAACGGCACCAAGCTCACCACGCTCGGCATCAATCTTTTGGCCACCCAAGGATCGACCGATTACTGTGGAATATTCATTAACAACGTATGTATTATCAATATTAAATAATAATTTACCTTAACTCGTATAAATCTGTGATTGATATGGGTATATTCCACAAAGGATGTTTGGGTTTCAAAATAATATATTGATTAAGTACACTTACAAAATTGAAGTAGGTACCAATTAAAACTATAGATTATCAAGCTTTTTCACAGATATCAAATACTTGTTTATTATTATGTTTTAATTGCTTACACAAACATATTATATCACTTAACGTATACTATACTTTCGAGTATAAACCTTGTATTGAAATAGAGAAAAGTTGTTGTAACGCATTCGTGGAATTAGTAAGATGAACATGTGCGGTGGCAGACTATGAAAACAATGCAACCCGGGAAAACTATTTGACTGGTCATTAATTTTGTTTTGATCCTGGATATATTTAGTGACTTTTTTTTAGGCTATAAATACATGCTTATTTTAAAGTCTAATAGAATATGTTTCTATCAAATTAGATATTAAAATAACTCATATCCTCACTTTATAAAAACAAAACACAATATTAAATTTAATAAAAATGTACACATACGTAGTTTTTATCTAATAAATCACTTTCATTTTTAACAATGTCAATAATGTCTTCAACATAAATATTATTCTGTATAACATATATCTTTCTCTGCAGCCATAAAACAGGAATGACTTTAACTATTAATTTTAATAAATAATAGTTTGCTGCCCCCACTACTAGCTGCAGTCCGCCGGTTAAAGTCGGGACATCCCGCTGTCATAGTCCGCCACTGGCTATACGTTATACGAGCGTTTTATTAAACATGTAAATAAAAAAACAGGCCTATTTTATCTATAACGTTAAATCATCCACATCCATCGTGTGTACTCGTATACAAAGCGCCACTTTCGTTGCGAGTCTGTTACAGCTGAAATATTTAATGCAATTATAAATCTCTAAATTTATAGTATGTGTATAATATGTTATATACTCATAAACGACGAATGTTGGTTTATTTGATTCTTTATCCTTTATATTCTCAGGAACTATTAAACTGTTTTTAATACAAGTTGTATTAATAAATGCATTGGAATTAGGAGTATGTACTAGGCGTATGTAGTTTTATTTTTTTCTATCTTTATAGGTTACTATAGAGTATAGGTGTGGCTCACGCATTAATTTACTTCTGACTCAGGAAAATAGAATATTTTATTGTTAATTTTAAAATTATTGCCATTGGTTAGAGATTATTTGTGTTATTATATTATAGTTATTAAATATAGAAATCAAAAAAAAAAAAAATAAGATAAAAATTAACTGTATTACTGCATAAAAACTATTCATGGGCAAAACGAGGTTTTGGACGGAACGTCGTTTTAAAAACAAACAATGTAAGTTCGAGTATAATTAAACATTACGTGGAAATTAAAAAATTGAACGCGTATATTATGAGGTAATAATTGAAAATAAACTTATGTAAATAATATTTTATTTAACGTGCCACCGTACCTAACCCAGAAAATTATAGTTAGTTTAAATGGGTGGAAAAAGTTCTGTCAAAACTGTAGACGGGCGAAACCGGATAATTTTATTCGGCTAATAATAGTTTCGAGTTTTGACAATATCAGCGAAAATAAATTAATGGTTTCCTTCGTCGAGAGCTCGGACGTGTTAGTCGTGTAATACGTACCTACTCGTTCGCCGGCACGGTTATGATGGTTACACACGTCTTGCGCACAGCTCTATATTTTGTACCGTTTGTCGTCCGAATACCTTCTATTATCGACCACTCGGTGCCTATTATCGTTGCGAGTGTTACGACGACACACACGGCCGAGGCAGATGAGTAGATGACTGTCGGCAGACGAGTACGAGACATAATACCATTTATCTATCATCGTGTACCGTATATTATATTATGTTATGTTATGTTATGTTGTGTTATGTTGTGTGTACCTGGGAAAAATTTGCACCCGATTTCACGGTAAACTACGTCTCGAATGGACGGCGTAAACGGCTTACTAACGGCGGGTGGGTGCGCAGCGCATTTTTTGGCGGCATGCGTTACGCGATTGTTGCGAACGACGTGTGCCTAATGATATCACGTCGCCGCCCGTAAAGATTTTCCTCGGAAAAGCGGCACGGACAGACGTCATCCCGTCAATAGCACCATCTTCTCGTACGAATACCATGACGTGTGCAGTCGTATAAGGCGTCATATTATTATAATATTATTATTATGCGCCATAAGCGTGTAGAACCGTAGAACACCTGTTAAACACGCACAGTATTTTATACTTCGATATGGGCGTGCCTGAATTATAGTTTTATGTGTAGGTTATAATAATATAATAATAAATAGCCTAGGTAAAATTTATCTCTAAACAGTTATCATTTTTTTCGGAAATTTCGTGTTTTTTTTTTTTTTTGAAACCTTAATTTTTACACAATTTGAAATCGTTAGTATTGAAAACCGTTTATTTTTTTAAGTTGCACCAGCTATTATTTTTTAATCGGTCATAAGCATATTTTACTTGTATGTTAATTGAGCGGATAAGCGGGCAAGTACAATGGTCTCCACAAAACGCTTGTACGTTTTACTTACTCCTTTTCGAATCTACCTTTATCAAAGTAAATATGATTTTTTATAAATCGAATAAGAATAACTAATTAATTACTGACTCGATATAAGATACAAATAAAAATTACCTCTTACAAGTTAAATTTATATAGGCGTCTTTTTAAGCTTAGAGTACCATTGGTATTCCAGTCTATAAATAAATTTCATTTTTACCCGTTGATATTAAAGACGTTTTAAGTTTAAATTTTTAAAGGCACACGTGGTTAGACGTTATTCGTTATCACCAAACAGATTTTTTTTTCATATTTTAATTTTAAAACAAGTTAAAAGTGTTTTTAAATTGTATTGAAATGTATTATTTCAAACTAAATTCAAACGTACAATATACGATAGACAATTTTAGCCATAATATATATACCTATATATGAGACGAAAAAAATGTGTAATATAATTAATGTATTAAAACTTAACCATTTAATTTATTATTATTAATTATATATTTATATATTCATTAATCATTCATGTATAATTTTATTTATATTTATGTACTTAATTTAAATACTTTGTCAAAAATTGTTTCATTATAGAAAGATTAACAATATAAAACTAAAAACATTTTTTAAAAGCTCAACGATATGATGATGAATTTCCCCTTTTATCACCATTTGAAGACGCTATTGGCCTAAACTATGATATGATACTCGTCAATTCGATTTAATAGTATAATATATATTTCTACTGGCGTTTAATACCCGTTTTTCTATGGAATAACATTACAACAGGTTTTTGACATTTTGATTACAAAGAATAAAGCATTCTGTCGTTGTCATTTCAATTGTTGTACCTTCTTTAATGTTAATTCTATGAGCATGACAAAATACTTGAGAGTATATATAGTATATACAGATGCTAGAATACTATAGACAGTATCGTATACGTTAATATAAAATATAGGTAAATACGTACTCAGTCTTTCATGAAAATAACATTACTTAGTCATTTCCAATTCCGGTTGTGAATTGGCAATTACTCTTAAAATAAATTGTACTCTTTTCGTTAAAATTGAAATATTTTTTTCGTACTTATTTATTACACTCATTTAATATTTAAGTATGAATTGTATTGAAAAAAAAAACGTGTTACCGACTACCACTGGTTTTTGTACGTATTTTTACCATTATTATCTATACATTAATACATTATAATATTTTGTCAAAAAAATTAGTGTTATAATATTCAAATAAAAATAAGTCGTGTATTTTTATTTTACTTTTTATACGACCGTATAATATATCTATAAGCATTCATCAAAGGAGGTTCTATAAGTTGTTTAGGCCCCAATTAAAAAAAAAAAAGTAATATAGGTTAAAATTTGGTTTCTGAAAAATATAGAAGTATAAACATATAGGAATTTGATATTATAAATAATTTTTTTAAGTTTATAATTATCAAGGTATAGTAGGTTACTTTACTATATTATATAGATTAAAGAAACAATAATAAGAATGAAATTAAAAACGGGTCTTGTTTAATGTTTGATACTTCCATACATTTTTTCAACTTTTCTTATAGGTACCTATTCATTTTTCTCCATCTCATTATGTTTTAAATTTTTCCTTGACAACTGCTGGAATTTGTTTACTGCGTAAAAAGTTATCTAGGGGCAAAAATCACACATTGTAATTAAATAGTTTTACAGATCATTATCTATAGTAGTATAGTAAGTATTTTCAATTTCTCAGGGTTCGGTTTATCTAAAATAAACCATACATATAATACGTACCTACATATTTTATAACGATTTAATATCATGATTTACATTCTTATAAACTTGGTACCTAATTTATAAAAGCTAAATAAAAAAAAAGTCTTTGATTGAAATATTATTATTATCTTTTAAAATCAACATTTTTCTCTGGTAGACGCCTACCTATTACTTTATTACAGGTATTATGTAATTTAAAATTCATATAATCACTTTAGGGCACAATTATATTCAAATATAAAATAAACCTATGTATTGAAAATAGTGTGTATGTATTTAAAAACAATTATTTTCCATAGCATATAATAGGCTCGTTTTTAATAATTTGATTTGAATATATATTAGGATTTAAGAAACTGTCGTGAAATAGTATATCTTTAGCTAAATTATACTAAAATTATTCCGAACAAAATGGATTTGTTGATTTTAACATTAGCTTACCATTAAAAAACTATACATTATTATCATGCATAATACGTTCTTAAATACTTATTTATTAATATTTAAATAATACAGTGGAGTAGGACATCAACTGTAACTGTTTAATGCATTTACATTTAAATAACTATTTAATACATTTGAAATTAACTTCATCTAAGATGGACCATTTTAATTATTTTTGGTTTTTTTTTTTTTTTAATGGTATTCTTTTATCATATAATATAATATGTTACGGAAAATTTGATAGTACAAATAAATATAATATATACCTATTGTAATTTTATGTGATTAATAGGTATATTTAATAATAATTGTGAACTCGTAAATTGACAAACTTGTTTTAATGATTTTTTTTATTCCTTACTCGTTAAAACTCTTCACATTTAAAAATAATTTTCTGCCATTATTTTCATTTGTACTTAAACTAACTGGCAAGTGATTTTCTTGTTCATAAACGTAATTTAATCAAATTTTTTATTGAATTACATTTCCAGTGTCGAGATCTGATTTTCTTCGTGTTTGGTCTTTTTTTTATTACATAATATGACGAATAAGTACGTTTTATTAAGGAGATATAAAATATGAATGTTAATATATGACCATCAACCGCGGATGTCACTATAATTTATACACGTATAAGTAATCAATTACCAATAATTAATAGATTCAGTCGTTAGCATATTTATTTATTCAAAGTGTAGTAAATTATTTTATGAGTGTCTGTTTGGTGAATATTGTGTAAATAAAATAGAAGTGGTTGGTTACGGTCGAGTAGTTGACCACAGCGAAGTCAGTACACCGAAGCCATCGAGCGAACGGGGAAAGTGCAACGGTAGGGACAGATGATCCGTGGAGGTGACGAAAAAATTATTCATTACGCGAGCATGTCTAATAAACGATTGAAACATTATATACACATAAACATTTTTCTTTCGTATTTGAATGACCAATTGTTTTCTTTTTTTCTCTCGTGGATAGTTGTTACAGTTACGTAATAAACAAAATCGAGTTGATCCATGTGACGGATTCCTTAATGAAATATAGGCCCATAAAAAATTTGACACAGAAATAAATGTAGATAATGTATTTACTATTTAAGATTAAGGTGAACGACATACTTAATCTTCGGTAACGATAATCACAGTAAATAACTTGGAAGTCGGAAGTATAAATAGAACACGTTTAAATCAACGACTAAATTGTATATATAAATATAAATTTTAATATACAAATCCGTGCATTTAAAAGAGTTAATCTTTTTGACGTGGGTCGTACATTATGATCGTATATTTTCTGATTATATTCTTTAGATAAAGTTTATTATTTTTAAATCATAATTTATTGTAATCACTAGTCTAAAAACTAGAATCTATGCGCTTATAACATTAAGGTTTTATTTTACAATAAATAATGGTAGATATACTTATTCTCATTTCTCATTTAATCACATTTTTATGTACACATAAAAAATAAGTACCGGGATTGATAAATTAGGTCCTAGATACCTACTCGAAATATAAATCTAATTATATTGTACAAATACGATAAAAATGATAATTCATATAATATATTTCACACTAACTGTTTGTGCAGAACGTTGCCCGTGACAAATTAAAATCTAGTAGATTTCCTTTATTTGAACTCCGTTAAATGTAAAGAGTAAACTATACAAATTCTCAACACAATTATTTGAGAGATTTAGATAAAATATATAATATAGATCTAAAATTATTTTAAATTATCATGGCTGTTTTGTTTCATGTAACCAATAGATGCTATTGGTTAAAGTAACCTACAAAAATAAAAATAAATATTAATTTTTCAGGAGCCAACAAATCTCTGTGTGAGTCACGCTTTAAAATTTGGCTTCGAGATGTACATTCTTTAGTATAGGAATATGATTATTTATGTAGTTACCAAATTTCAGAACGCCGCGACGCCGCGTGCGATAGACTTGACTGTGGATTGCATACACACACATAAACATTCACTTTTATTAATATAAATATTTTAAAATAATATGATTGAATATATTTAAAAATTTAAAATGGTCATAAAATGTTTATTGTTTTAAACACTTGGTCTAAAAATTGAAATTAATTTTTCAAATAATATAAATGTACATAATAAAATTTAGATAAACATTCCCCCTAAACAAATAGATATACCGAATAAAGTCAGAAGATTTTGAATTTTGATTTTTGGCAATTAAAATTTCATTACAAATATACTAATAATTTGTTTCATTCAACTGAGCTCATAAGTCGTTACCCAATATTAGAATACCAATCACATATAAAAACATGTTAATATTATAGGAAATAAGAATAATATTTAAATGTATTATACACACTATGTAGTTAACACTTAATTAGATTATATAGTTTTTCACTAGGTCCATATGAAAAATTTAACAATTAAGTTTTCACACCATATAATCGTTATACCTATATTTAATTAATGTTTGTATACTTAATTTAATAGAAAACCGAAGAAAGATCAGTACCGATTGCTATAAGAATACACAGGACTCTAGAACTTGCGGACGATAAGTATTACGTCATCACATGTGGCAAATCGGGATTCAAGAATTCCAAGTAAATAATGTCTATAAACTTGAACTTGCCGATGAAATTCTACAAATGTTAAAAGAAAAAAAAAATTCAACAAGATTAAAACATTAAATTATTTTTCAGAAACGAAACGTCGTTGGTATCATTAAAATTTCTCGAGAACGGGAAAAGAATTCAGGAAGTTGTTTACAGCCATCCATACACACTAAGGGCTGAGATATCTAGACACGATGGTAAAATAGAATAATACTTAATTAATATTGAAACTTTTAACAACTTATTAACGGATGATTATAAGAAAATTTAATATTGTTCGTGTTATAAATTTGGGTCCAAATACATTTTAGAGGAATTTTTTTTTATTTATCTTTAAAACCCTTAAAGTTATTCTATGCACTTATGATGAAATTATATATTATCATAAATCATAATACGCTTATTATAATTTATAATATAATACACAAACATAATAGTTAATAAAATACACTTATTTTTGTAGCTTTTTTGGTTGGTAACTACTAAGTATTTATTTTTGTATCTTCATTTTACCTACTAAGGAAGATTTCTGAAAACCAATTTATACACATTGTTCAAATCAACTAAAATATAAATATTTAATTTCACTGTAATGTAACGGTTATTAGCACATTTTAATACTTTATGTATAATACATAAATATATTTAATTTATACGTGTATTATTGATTCCTAAAGCTACAGTGTTCTTCTTTTTTTTTATCGTGAGAAAGTATTTATGTAATAAATTACACGCTTCAATAATGATAATTTGAATTTAATATTTAATTTCAATTTGTGGTTTTATTAAACAATTTTTACACTTATAATTTATTAATATTTCAACATTTTACGTAATTTATTGAAGTGGAACAACCATTAAATATAAATATTGTTAAAAAAAAATTAAAGGCATATTTACCCAAACCTAGGTGTATATCGTACATAATTGTGTAAATAATATACGCAACTACGAGGAATCAAACATAAATTCCTTTTTTTTTTTTTCATGTTCTAAACCACACAGGCGCCTATGGAATACGCGTTAAGAACTGTTTTGCGTTCAACAAGAGGAACAACAGCGTCAACCTCATCAATGAGCTCGGGTAAGTGAACCCTGACGATACTGCACATAGTTGGTTACAAAAGATCTCCCGCTGTACCGCGTATAGTACAATTATGTGGTTTTTCTAGTTACAACTTCCAAAGACTCTGAAATTAGTGGTTTAAACCGTGATTGTTTTTTAACTCGCATACGTCTGCTCTAGCGTTTCTAAGAAGATGTTGTTCGATGGGATTTTCTTTTATACTTGGCTATTATTTTGTTTCGTTAATAACCGCAATGGTCCGAGAGATCAGAGCAGTATGTTTCTTCTCAAAATAAACGGTCTCGTACAGTCAACAATTTTATTAAATGGTCAGTGGCAGATAATATCAAATCGGAAATATTTTCGAGTTGTTTACAATCAATTAGTTTTTATTTAATAACATAAAGTTAACTGTGCCGATTTTCATTGGACAGTAATTATTGGTTTCACTATTGTACTCAACAATGTTCATAAAAAGCGTGCTGAGAACGCGTCTAAATCCACCCGTATCATAATTTTAGAAACACTGTCGCTTCGAAAACATTTTCTATTTTTTCGTATTAGATACCTACCTGTAGAATATTGGACAGAAAAATATCGAATTAGTTATTTATGTTTTTCAAACACTATATATATGCAATAATATTATAATTGTATTGATATCATTCTCATTATACACGTATAATGCCGCAGTTGTCCGTCCAACTCGAAGGTCATCACGCCGTTCAAGTACGACCCAAAGTCGGGGTACGCGGACGCGACGCTGTCTTCTATGTTCCGGTTTCCGGACAGCCCGGAACTGTATTTCCAGTGCGACATCGAGGTGTGTCGGGGCGCGTGCGTGGAGCCCGACTGCGACGGCGTATCCGCGGTGCAGTTGCAGCAGCAGCAGCAGCAGCAGATCAAGTACGAGTTCGCTGTTGACTCGCCAGCGGAAAACGGCACGTTGACTGCCAGCACGACGGTTTTCGTGCTCGAGCCCGGCGAGACGGCCCGCAGCCTGACGCTATGCGACGACCCGGCTGACGGTGGCATCCGTCCACCGTGGCTGCTATACCTGTGCATAGCGTTCGGGCTAATGTTCCTCATTATGCTCGTCATCAACGTGTTCCTGTGCTCGGCGATGACGTGCTCGTGCGCTCGCACCGACATCATTGAAAAAGAGCCCAGCATCATCGAAGACTACGACCCGTACCGTAGCTGGCATGGTTCGCAGTACGGATCGAGGTAAGCGGTTGGCCGGCGATGGCGTGCGACCGAAAAAACAATTTGAACGGTTTAAAATAATATCACATTATATTGTGTATACGATATGCGTATAGTGGTAATGACGACGATAAAATTTCTACACCCCCGCAGATCTCCATCCCCTTCGCCGCGTTCACATGTCGAGCGGATAAAAATAATGCATTTACCCCGCACCGGCCACAGAGATCTTCATATTTATATCCTTCGTCCTCTCAGATGGTTTTCTCGTTTGATTATTTTAACTCTGACTTGGTCCTATTTTATTCGTTGAGTTTGTTTTCATTGTAACACATTTTTTTTTTTTACTTCTTTCTGTAGTGTGATTCGCCAAGCATGCTCATTCCCATTATAATATAATATATATAAATATATTATAATGACGAATTTATTTAAATTTTGATTTTTGATGGGATCATTAAACATACTTTAAGACCGTATATATGTTGAAATTCTCGAAATTTATTGTACCTACTACTTAAAGAGTTTCTTGTGTTGATCAGAAATTCTGCGTTCAAACGCCTCCCCCCTTTACTGTTAATTAAGATCTCGCGTTACTCTCGTTGCTTGTCGAATTTGGTCGTTTATAGTTTTGATTTTGATACGTCAAAATTTTCAGAAAAATTTTTAGTTAAATAATTTAATCAAATTCGGCAAAATATAAATGATATGGTGAAAATAATAATTCGAAAATAATTACTAGTATTTGCGATTTTATTATGAACATTATTAGAAATTTCTGATTTTTCAATTTGAATTATAATTTGATAAAACATTGTAATAAATTATTTTTGATCATTGATTACTTTTTTTAAATTTAGGTATTCATTAAATGGTAAGCCAGGATACGTATCTGGTGGCTCTACGATGAATTCAACTAGATCCATGTCGACAAATAGCGATCATTATGCGATAGTACACTCACGACCAGGTAGTCGGTACTCGGGCACCGCCAAACACCATCCACACATGAGAGGACCGCCATCCAATATTGGATCACATTATTCTGGAAAATAATAATTTTCTAAAATATATCAATATATATACATATATTTATATATTATACTATTATTTAGTTAAAATATCATATATTTCGAAAAGGTTAATTTATTTCACCTGTTTTTGAAAATAAGATATATTTATACTACAGTGTACATAATATATATATCTAATATATTAGTAAGTACACGCATTATGCAGCAGTTGTACTTAATTTTAATGAGAATTATATTTTATAATCTCTCAAAAACTTAGTTGCCATTGTATTTTACAATCTTCAATAATTATTATAAGTTTATTAATATATATATATATATAATTTAACGTGTATTGTAATTTTAATTATTAATAGTTACTATATAAACCTACATTACACGTGTAATAAATTAACTTCCTACTATTGATTTTTATAAAGAGTAATAATATCTAACTGCATAATATACTAGAATATATTATTACAAACAAAGTAATTTAAACTTGATTCACTTGTTCTAAAAACCAAGTAATGTCAATTATCGCAATCACGTCAGTGAATTATTTTTGTTATGGTAAATCTATATAAAATATATATATTAAAAATTTTGTATACAATATGTTTTACGTATGTTAATTATTATAACAATACGATTTATAAAAATTAGTTACCTCTGTTGTCTTCAGTTTTTTAAACAAATGTGTAAATATAATAAATGCGTTCAGTAAAATACTTTTAATGTTTTTTTTTTTTATATATTACTGTGTATTAGCAGGATTACTGCAGAGAATTACATACCAATTTAAAAACTTTTCGTTTTTTACAACTAAAAACAACTCAACATTTTATTCTTCGGCCAGTTTTGAGTGTCACGCAAATCCCTTAAAATGTACTAGCGCATTAAATCAGTGATATTGAATTGAATCCATGCTACTTTTATGTGTTTGAATTGTGAGCTCAGCTTATTACATTAATATATTTGAATTGAGTCAGTAAAGATAAAATTTCATAACTATACCTATATAGCCGATGACACACAATTAGTTAATTCTTACTTAATTATTAAATTATTGCGAGTGAAAAATGGAGTGTATGTTTAGATAGTTACCAGTAAAATAAATATTTCTCTTCAAACAATTTGTTATATTTCGTTATATTTCCAAAAATAATAAGATAAGTATGTACTTAAAATTTTTTCCAAATTATTATTTTCAATACTTATACTGTGATAAAATTTTCAAAAAATTTTAACTCTTTTTGAAATATTTATAAGTATGACAAATTTTCAATTTTTGTTTAGTATTTTCTATAACTATTTACTGTCGATAAAAAATTATTCTCTAGGTAAAATTTATATTTATTTATTATCATTTTTTAATTATTTGTCTTTTTATACTTACTATTATAATTAAAGGAAGGGACTCGATTCGAATTACCTAACAATGTTTGTCGGACTCGACTTCGAGTAACCCAAAAGTATTTGCGAGACTCGTTCAGTACTTGGGATTCAATGATTCGATTCAATGTTATTCTATTAAACGCTGTCCATTTGTCACAAAAATAGGTAGATATCATATTATCGTTTAGATGGGTAGTTACCGGTACGACAGTCATTTCACCATTTCGACACTATGTCAGCAAATTTACCAAGACAGGTAACTCTACACTATTAATAATGTATTATGTAATATATCTATTTATCTCATGAACACAATACAAATTACCAAAAAAATAATATCGGTTGACAAACACTTAAATATATTTATAATATTTTTGTATTATCTATTATGTTGTATAATATTTACCTATGTATTTGTTCTGTCTTTACTATCACTTGTAGATTACAATAATTAAAATATATATTACCAACTGTAATAAGAAATCTGATGTGTCTTTTATTACTTTTATTAAAATTTCTACAATAACTCTTAATGAGTATTTATGTTTTGCTTATTGAACAAATAACGCAGCTGGAAATTACTATGTCAATATTACCAAGTGTTATTACTTATTACCAATCTAGCATAATATCTTCGTAATATTATCGTCATTATTAGGTATTTGCTGTAACCTATTTATTTAGACTTGGACTTGAAATTAAAAATGTAAAACAAAACATATAAATAAAACTTTTAAAACAAAAAAAACAAAAAAAAAAAAACAGTTGCAGTCAGTCTAGGAACTGTTACAGAGGTACAAAATAATAAATAATATAAGTAATATAACCGGTCTCCCAAGTTTCAGTGTCATTATTATTTTTTTTGTGAATTTACATTCGACTTATTTTTTTAAATTTTTATTTATAACAACTTATGAGAAATCTTGTATCAGTTGTCTATAAATAAGTCAAAAACAAGTAAAATATTTTGAAAATCATACCATGATAAAAAATGATAATATTAACAATTGGTGAGAATTTCAAGTTTCTATGGTTATTCGGTTTTGGACTACGACATAATAAAAATATTGATTTTGTTTAACTATTTTAGTGTCAAATTTCCCGTTTTTTCTTAATTTTCTAAAAATTCAATTGCATTGGTTACTTAAATGATGTATATTTGTTAATAAATCTTTAATGTTCTGTACTTCTGTGTATTGATGTTTAATTTATCATGTATACATTTATCATATAGTCTTCATTGTCATTTTTATTATGTATAATAGAATGGTTTATATTCGTTCTTTTATAGTAAATAGAATTCTATTATTTTGAAAGAGATTAATAGGTTTTCATAATGAATGATTTTATAATTAATATAGACTAGAGTATAATAAAATACAATATAGTAATGCATTAAATGGTATTCAATATTAATTTTTCTAATACATTTAAAAAAAATGTTTATATAGTTTTAATAATAACATAATAGACAATATTATAATAACTTAAAATAAATAAATAAATATATATTGAACAGTGCTATGACTTATAAGTAGGTAACACATTTCAATTGTTAACATGATAATGACGCAAAAAATTAAAAATTAAATACATTTAATATTATAAATATTCAGCAAATCGATTGCATGTTTGTTTGGATAAAAAATTGTAATATCAACCATAATAAACAAAAAAAAAAAAAAATAATAATAAAAGTAACTTTATAAAGTATATTTGTTTTTATTTCAAAACCTCATTTGTTTGAATTGGCAAGTGTTTGGGCTGAAAATTATAAACCCAAATGATTTAAACTTAATAAAGGTAAGTATCACACATTTATTTTGTATTGAATATAATTATTAATTTATTTATTTACATTGACTGCCATGCAATCACAAGCACAGTATCAGAGTATAAAAGTATTTTTATAAACGCTGGCAGTTGCACCATGTTATCTATATTATGTCATTATCTATATACTGTATGACCACACATTTTATTTTTAAATATAGATATTTTCCATGGCATTGAACTAATAATAAATATTTATTGATGATAGTAAAGAGGAGAAAATTTTGGATTGAAAGATATATTAGTAGTCTTAAACAGATTATATTATATGCACTAAAAAATTTATTACCGCATTAAAAAAAAAATTATTAAAAATACTTAATTTTCAGTCAAAATTACAGCACTTTTTTAATGTTTTTATTTTTCTAAATAACAAAATACATTTTTAATTTTGTATTTTGAAATAAAATATTTTTCTTAGTATTTTGTTACAATAAAAGTCAAAATTTAGACTAGTAGTTTATGAGTTATAAGTATTTAAAGTTTAAGTAAGTGGAGTAGTAGACTACATTTTACAGAGTATTTTCATTCCACCCACTTAAACTCTAAATATTTATAACTTATAAAATACTCATTCAAATTTCAATTTGTATACATTAAAATAATCTAAAAAATATTTTGCTTTAATTATGTAATTAAAAATGTATGTAATTTATAAAAATATATTAAAAAATATAATTTTTCAAAAAAGTTCTTTTATTTCGATAAGAAATTAAGTAAAAAAAATTTTTTTTAAGTTAATAAATTTTAAAATAATGAGTTTTATTTAATAAACAAATAAATCTGTATATAATAATAATAATAAGAATGTAACAATTTTATATTACTTTAAAATGGTATTAAAAATAGAACATGGCTCTGTAAGAAAAATATCCATGCAACTGCTGGCAGTCAATGTGCTAAAAAGCAATAATATTACTCACCATAATGTATATTTGGGTTTGTAAAGATCTAACTAATACATCATTTAAAATGTGTTTAAAATCATTAGGTTCAGAAGTACAGTCAATGTGCATTTTTGGCAATGTTGACACACCAACAACAAGAGGATAGAGATTAAAATGCAACTTGTATGTGCTTTCAGGCAAAACTGTGACGTTCATCTAAAATGATATACAATTAAGTATGATATTGATATTATATAGTATATTTGTATACATACATCTTTGTGTCCAGCCATCATAAATGCTTCATTTGCTTCCATTGATACATCTAATGTAAGTAGTGATTCAGAGTTATTATGTAAAAAGTATACAACACTCATTGGTGTATGTAGCCACCCGTGAGCTGGTAATTTCATGTCCACCTAAAATCAAAATTAATCCATCACTTTCTTCAGTATCAAAACCACATAATTTAAAATAACTGACCAGAAATGTAGATTTTTCAACAATAATTTTAGGTAATTCTATACTTGAATATCCACTCTTACATTCACTTTCCACATTAGCCCTGACAAAAAAATAAAAAAGCAAAAAATTAGTAGGTATTCAAATAAAAATGAAGATTTTATAGCTTATAAACAAAATTACAAATTAGTTTAAATATTTACTTATTAGTTATTTATAATATTTTTTATTACCTTTTCCAATTTATAGTGAAACAACCTAAAATATTTTCACTAAACTCAGAGGGTGTTATACATATTACTTCTGAAGCACATTCATCAGATTCTAAAAGTACTCCATTAAGTACTGATTGGTAACCACCAGCCGAAATATTAACATGTTTAGCCTGTAATATTAAATGAAAATTTTCTAGATTGATTTAAATAATTTTTTTTCTCATAAGATTTACCAATTGAAAAGATGTATTTTCTATAAATATTGGCCATGGGGAAAGACACTTTATGTTTGGCATCACTATTAATGGTT